GCCCGCCCCTGTTTTTTATATTAAAAAAAACGCTCAAAAGCAGATAGAAAAGAGCCTATACATTTTTCCCACCACTGGCCCACCATAAAATACAAAATTTATAACCAGGACAAAATCTTCCCCATGTTTCTATACAGCACAGCATCACAGTACAATGAACCCACCCACATCCCCCCCATGAAAACTGCACAACACTCCAAACTGACGCGCGCCAAGGCCTCAGCACCATTGCACCTTCCATTGCCACCCACCGAAGGAACGCCAACACCAACAGCCAGACTCAACCACATCTGCTGCTCCGGAACAAAACCCCTGTCCCCGAGCTCACCGCAAATCCTGGACCATCCGCCATTACTATCCATACCGAGGATCCTGACTATGCCCTCACCTTTCTTCCCCCAATCGACCAACACTCAGCACGGACAATGGCACACACCCAGTACCAGGACCCACCATCCACCAACCTCCCTCCCTCGCTGACCCTGCTGCAGGACGACGTTGTATCTACTTCATCCAGATCCATAGCCCCTGTCGCACCTGCTCTCCGCAATGCATACGAACTTAAGCCCGACACCTCCCACTGCACCCAGGCCCCACTCTCTGACCCCCGGTAGCCACCTGATCAAGTCGCCCTTCCTCCACACACTCATCCCCAGATCTACTCCCATGCCCCCCCTAGATGCCGACTTACCTGTCCACACATGCCCGCCACCTGCACCGAACACGCTCCCTGCGGTATACACCAGCGGCAGCACCCCACCCACCACAAAAAAACAGCACCCACCCACCACAAAAAAACAGCACCCACCCACCACAGAAAACCAGCCAAACCGATTCCCTGCCTCCCACTCGCCCCTTCTCCTCTAGATCCAGGCTACTTATACGCGCCTGTCACCAATGGGTTCCCAAGTTCTTGTCTGCTGCGAGGCCGATCCCACTGTTGGTGTCGTGCTTCCACTTCTCCTCCTCCTCCAATCCTTTGCTCTCATATGCCTGCTCACTGCTGCTCGACCAAGGAACTCCACCCACCATAGCCGGCTGAGTACACCAGGCGTCTCTCTCTCTCCCTGTTCTCTTCTGAAGCTGCAAGTGTTCTGTGCATATTGGAGCTTGGCTGCAGCAGTGAGCCAACAATCGGCAGATTGCAAGGCATCTCAACGATCCTCTGTGGCTGTCTCCCTCTGATGGCAGCCCTGGACGAATTCATCAATCAGGCTGATGTCAACGAGAATGTGGTGAGTACCCTCGATGGAACACCCGTCTCCTATCACCCCACCTGCTCACCCCCCCACTGGGAGCCAGAGGATACTCACCCTCTGATGAGCTGTGACCTGTGCAAGCGGCGAGAAGCGCTTTAGGGGATGCACCACCCCTCCTCCATTGGTTACTACAGCAACAATGATGGCTTTGCCATCATGCTCCCCCCACTCCTCCCAACCTCCTCCTCTCCCTCCCTCCCTCCTTCAGTCTCTGTATGTGTCGCTCTGCAGGTATCGTAGGATGGAGACTGAAGTCTAGTCGGACCACAATGCCATAAATGAAAATGGGAGGTATGCGTCTACTAGATGAGGTTCCCGTGTATCAGGTTGCTTTGTTTTCATCGCTCTCTCTCTCTCTCTCTCTCTCTCTCTCTCTCTCTCTCTCTCTCTCTCTCTCTCTCTCTCTCTCTCTCTCTCTC